ATTTAAATAATTATTACCTGTTAGTCTTGTACGTGCAATCCATCAGGATGACGTATGGAAATAACTGCAAAAGCTTTATTGAATCAGGGTGCGCAAACATAACGTCTTGCACTGTATCACCAGCTGGATTTGTTCGATGCCATTTGCTGTATCCACTCTCACTTAGTTCGTGCCACAGATGTTGTATAACTGTTTTTCCTTTCATTTCCTCTCGTCTAATTTTCTGTGATTCATTGTACACTTCTCTCAAGGACGCAGCCGTATCCGGATTCACCTGCCTCAGATGATGCAAAATTTCCTTCGGCTTCACATGGCTCTTTTTCAGTATCTTTGTCACTTCTCGTTGCTCTTCAGTCAGACGACTTAGCGAACGTAGTCCTTGTGGATATTTATGAGGATTATGATTGTGCTTGCCATTTTTGATGGTAAGGCGCCATAATCCATCACGACCCTCTTTACCCCATAGCGCAAAAGGGCATTTACACTTTATTGAACCGGACTTCCGGCTTGTTTCGACCTCTGCATTTTTTCCTCGACTCTTATAGGCTCTTTTGCAAGTCAAATATTGTCGGCCCTCGTGGTAAGACTGTCGCCTAATCTCATGTCCATGACTGATGGCCATATTCATCGCCCACTCGACTAGTGCATCTTTACTATCAAATGCAGTCGAAATTGTGAAAAATTCACTGAAATCATGTAGCTCGAATGTTTCAATATCTTCATCCACATCTATGTATACTTCCTGTTTTTATATTAATGTAATTAGCAAATTATAAAACTAAAGAATAAAACTATAAAAAAAAAAAAAAAAAAAAAAAAAAAAAAAAAAAAATTTTGTGGTGCTCGTGTGATTTCACGCGAACAGAGACGTTCTGCTCGTGTGATTTCACACGAGCAAACCTCCTCTGCTCGTGTGAAATCACACGAGCTAATTAAAAAAAAAAAAAAAAAATTGTTCTTGAGCTCGTGTGAATTTACGCAAGCCCTTGCAAAGTGCTCGCGTAAATTCCCCCGAGCACTTGAATAAAAAATAAAATTCATCTACTCGTGTGAATTTACACGAGCACTTGGCAAGTGCTCACGTAAATTCGCACGAGTAGATGAATTTTCGGGAAAAAAACGAAAAACTTACATTCGGGTCTAAGTTGTTTGGATCCATCGCAAAAATTGTTGAATATCTGAAATTTTTCACTTTGAATGTTGAGTTTTATATTTTATAGGATTTGGTAGGAATAGTACAAAAGGTAAATAGTTATGGTAAAAAGGTAAAAAACCATGGTAAAAAAGTGCCTGAATGTTTAATTTGGCCTGCGTATATCACCACCCTTTTACTTTGTGAAATTAATGTCAGTGACACACTGATAGAGGAGAAGACTGTAGGAGGAAATATTAGTGTGGGGAGTCTTCAGAGAAAACGAGGTTAGAGAGAGAGAGAGATTACGTTTACGTTCATTAAATTGCACAATTAAAAAAATTTCAACAAAACCATTATGAATTTCCCTCGGATCCCGATTCGAAAGCTAATATCAAAAGAAATAAAATAAAATCAGAGTTTCTTCAGGAAGTAAGATCTCAATAAGTCTCGGTTTTTTTCGTTTCTTGTTTTTAAATCGTCTCATAGTGTGAATTATGATATTGCTGTCAAGTAAGATATTCGACTTAACCCATTTTGTTTACATCGTCTTTAAGGTACTTTTACAAATTGAGAATTTCTTGAAGAAATAAGAACAAACATTATTTAATTCTTGTATCCAAATCATAAGCAATCCCGTTTATCATCGATCTCTCGTTTCGAAATAGAGGATAAAATGTTCATCAAGAAAATACTAATTTTTCCTATATAATTATAAGTTAATTTCTTCAAGAATCACTATTTAATAAGAATAATAATGATCAATCTTCTCTAAACAAAGTAGACAAAATTACGAGGAGAAGTGAACCGTTGATAAAAAAATCGCAAGGGTCTCTCAACTAGTCATCACTAACAACTTTACTTTCAAAGTTGGTGTATTATTGATTGTTGAATTCGTTATATACATAATACACACACATATGAATCACAAACAATGGTCCTTGTGGACGTCACTAACCTTAGAACTCGAGATTCTGAGAGCTTCTTGTATAACAATCTTGTAACTCAAGAACTCGAGATGTACTTGCAAACGAACAAGAAACCTGTATGCAAAACTACAAACATCAATCAACTAAACGAATCACAAGTCATAATTTGAATAACGAAATCAAACTTGTAAATAGCGGCGAGCACATATTTGAAGTTGTGGAAGCCAGAAGTGCTGAAAATGTAGCAGAGTTAACGACAAAACAGCTCTTTCAATTAGCTTTTCTTTTTATTTATCAGATTACGTGCTACTTATCGTTGATTCAAACATCTTTTGAACCATATAAGTAAATGCACCAATATATTGAACGTTACAACGCAAGTAGTCATACATTACTCACTATTAGGGGTGCAAGTTGGAATGGAATTTCCAATTTCCGCCGGTTCCGATCCAAAAAGTTCCGATTTTGGAACAACTTTTTTTATTCCGACTTCCGAAATTCCGATTTCCGAATTTTTCCGATTTTTTTGGATTGGAATTGGATTTATATAAAATATATTTGGAATTTCCGATTTTCCGATCCGATTTAATTCCGAAATTAATTCCGAAAAATTCCGATTTTTTTCCGAAAAATACACCTATTAATAATATATATTATATAATATTTATTTTCCGAAAAATACACCTATAAGTTTTCTCTTAGGATTTTGACATAATGAATTGCTGTTACAAGTTTTATTGGATATTATGTTGTGTTTATTTTTATTTATTTTTTTAACTAAAATTTTGTAGTAATTAGTTTTTACTTTTATCGACGTGGATGTTCTTATTTTTGAAAAATTATGGACATTTTGAGAAAATTTCGGCTAAGTTTTGATATTTTAAAGCTTATGTGATTTGCGATTTTTTTCCGAAATTCCGAAATTTCCGGGCCTTTTGGAATTGGAATGAATTTTTAGATTCCGAAAATTTTGGAATTGGAATTGGAATTGATTTTGTCCTTCCGAAATTTTTTGGAAATTTTCCAAAAAGGCTAATTCCGATCCGATCCATCCGACTTTCACCCCTACTCACTATAAATGAAGAAGCAATCTTAAAATCCTTCAGACTAAGAAACGACAATTTGATTCATCATCGGTTCGCCAAAAAAGCCCCACAACATCCTTCTTTATAAGTTATACCGTCAATCGTTCTTTATTTTACAACTCTTAACCAGAGGGTGACTGCAAGCAAATCATATATTCAAGATTCTACGACGAAACTGATTTTTTTTTTTTTTTATTAAAACCACCTATATAAGTCACAATTTGAAAGCAAAAGCAGCTCAAAAATAGCAAAAAAAAAAAGAACCACAAAACTCAAAAAGGCCATACCTTTATCCTTCAACAACTGCAAACAACACATCAAAACTCAACCGCCAAGCACTGCGAAATCGAAACCCCTTTAGGAACAACAAGAATCACACCGACCCGCAAAATCGACCCGCTCAACCCACCATCGGAATCCTTCTTAACCTCAATCTCCGCGCACATAACATCCACCTCCTTCCGATTCCCATTCCCTTTCCCTTCCCACACCACACACAACCTCCCACTCAAATTCACCATTGTCGAACTGCACAAGAACTTCGGCAACCCTTTTTCCACCCCTCTCAAATCCCTCCACTTATCCTCCTCCACATCATACCCTCGTATCTTCCCCAAGTAATCGTAGCAGTACAGCACATCCTCCACCACCGCCGCCCTACCCCGCCACCCCATATCCAACCTCTTGGGCACATTCCCCCACTCCCCACTATCCAAGTTATAAACCACTCCACCTCTATCCGCCATAGCATAGAATCTACCCTTAATTATTGCACTTGCGTGCATCCACTTATGCCTCAGCTCGATTGAGTCCGCACTCGGAATTGGGGCCCAAACCCCTGTTTTCGGGTCGAATACTTCTGCCCAGTTGATTGACCGGGTCCAATTATCCACATTGCACCCACCGAGTACGTATATCTTACCGTTCCATTCCGCGGCGGCGGGGAATTCACGAGCGACCTTCATTTTAGGCCCGATTCCCCATTTCTGAAACCTGCAATCGTAGATCCAGACGTTGCTGGACGGGATATCGTTGATTGAGCCGCCGATTACGTAAATTTTGGGGCCTAGGGTTAGGATTGATGATCCGACTGGGTGGTGGTGGGGGATGGAGGGGAGAGAGACGACGGTGCTTTTGGAATTTTGGGGGTTTTGCTCGGCGTACCAGTAGAAAGAGGAATCGTGGCGGAGATTGAGGTAGAGAGAGAAATGGGAGATGCGGAGGAGCGATCGGGTGCGGAAGAGCTCAGGTGAATTTACGGTGGAGCGCCATGATTTCGAGACGAGAGAGAGGAAGGGGTGGCGGAAGCGAGGTACTCTAGCTAGGATTTGGAGTGAGATGTCGTCTGGGAGATTCGGGATGAGTGGCGCCGCACACGACGGCGCTGAGGCGGCGGAGATGGTGGCGCGTGTTTGGTCCGCCATTTGAGTGTGTGGGATGAAAGTGAGGGGTTGAGAAACGAATACTGTGAAATTAATTTTCCAATTTTTAACCAATTTTTTTTTACAAAAATATTACAATCAGCCCCTGAGGTATGGTTAAATTACAAACAACCTCTCCAGTTTGGTTAATTACAATGACTCCCCTCAACTATGAATCTTCTTACACGTCCACCCTTATATTGTCAAATTTAGTGGAAATTTAGTAGTATCTTCTAAATTGTGTAGAATATTCTTCAGTTTGTACCCGTTTTATCCTATTCGAGCTCCACATTTCGAAACAAGATTGTCGTACAGTGTGTCTCTTGACTTTTAATATCAGATTGCGGTGCATCAAAAACTGTATTTTTGCACAAAACGAGAACAAACTAGAGAACATTCCACGAAATGTAGAAGATTATGTTGAATTTGACACCATGAGGGTGGACATGTAAGAAGATTCATAGTGGATGGGTGATTGTAAGAGGAGTTTTTTCATAATTTAACCATGTCTTGGGGGTTTGACCGTAACTTACCGAAAAATAAAAAAATAAAGAAATATGTAAATATAGTTAGATATGTATAGTTGAAAGATAATAGATTGATGTCAAAGGAATCTACACGGATTTGTTTGAATTTTAAATTTTTCTTTTCATATATAATTAGAAAATTAGTAGAGAGAAAAACAATTACAAAATATACGTTATTATTTATATAATAATATAATAATATATGTTAATGTTGCATTAAAACCACACATATTTGCAGTTAAATGTCACAAAAATATAACGCACTAATTAAAATATATAATTTACCTTCATAAATAGTTAATTAATACACACATATGCCACAACCATAACTTGCAAGATGTGTAAACTCAAAAAAACAACAATAACAATATTACAATTATTAATATTTCTCTCAACATTTAATCTCTTGATAACTAAATCATTTTCATTATGCGCTTTCGAGTACGCAATCGAGGTCGTGAGCAATCTCCCGGCCCACACCAAATCGCTGAAACTCCAGTGCTGGGGAGACGACGGCACGGATCTAGGGTTGCAAACGCTCGACCCTAACCAAGGAGTGTATTTCACCACTTGCACCGAAGTGTTCGAGGCCCCGACGACGTTTTACTGCTTTTTCCACTGGCGGCAGAAGAAGTACCAGGCTACGTTTCCGATCTTTAGCAACGATTTGTCGTCGCACTGCGATTTTCATGTCTTCTCTCCTTATATATGTCGGTGGACGGTTAAAGATAGCGGGTTTTATTTCGGGACCAAAGAGCCCTACTATGAATATCACCCATGGACAAAATGATAATTAATCCATATTAATTCCGAGTAAATTAATATAACAAACGCATATATTTATATAGTCGATATATAGTCGTCGGGTTTGTTCGATCGGTGCCACACGGTTGTACATGCATGTAGCATGAATAAGATGGATCATCATTTTATTTTCTAGTGCATTTTATTTCTTGATTTATAATTTCGGTAGTTTTGTATTTTATTACTATTATGGAAAAAAAAAAATCAACACTGGCGACCAGATGGGATAAGAGTTAACATGTTTTAATTATTATTAAATTAGAGAATTTTTTCTCTCGAGTGAATTAAATTAGAGACATTTATTATGAAAGAATCCCTTCTAATATAATACGAGCCGAATAACGATAGATCTTAAGAACTAAGGTCTCATTTGGTTACATTGATCGGATTAGTTTGAATTAGATTGTGTCGTATGAATTATTAATGATCATTTAGTTAGCTAGTCGGTAAGCTGTCTCGGTCCTTGTATTAATATTAAAATCGCTAAAATTTCGTATTTTAATGTGAAATTCCAATTTCCAATGAGATTTAATGTCCAGAATTTTCGATTTTTTATAATAGTAAAACTATAGGTGACTGAAAAATAGAATTTTCGATTCCGCCATTGTGATCCAACAATTTCTTGATCAAGTCTTTTCATTTCAATTTTCGAAATTTTTGTAGTAATTATTTATGATGACTTAATTATATGTATGTGATATTATTACAAAATATACATAATATGACAATTCAGTCCACATAGTATTATCTAATCAATGGTTATAAATTACAATATAGTATGTGACGTTCCATATAATTACATAATCTAATTTTACCAAAAACAATCCTAATAACTAATTTTTAGTTTACTCTCATACGTTATCGCGTCCATCTAAAAATTACGATTTTGCCCCATATTTTCACCGCCGTCCTTTCTAGTTTCATGAGGTTTATAATGTGCGCACGGTCTATTCTATGCTACATCGGATGAAATGCATCGGGTAGATCTTTATACCATTCATATACACATAAACACACGCACACCCACATTGGTGTGTGTAGATCAACGGTAAATAATCACCCGGTATAGTCTTCACCGGGTGCAGGGGTGTGCCCATGGGTATGCTTGGGGTGGCTCCCGCCCCCATAATTTTATTTTTTTAACACCTTTTATTTTTATTTTTTTTATAAGTTATTATGTATTAGTTAATGCACTTTAACCCCCAAACTTCCCTTTTTTCACACTTTAGTCCACAAAAAAATTTCTTCTTAATTCACCCCATATTCTAACCCCCAAGAAAAAACCCATGAGTCCGCCCTGGACCAGGTGTAGCATAGAAATAATCCATGCAAACATTTAAATGTTGCATTAAAACAACACAAAATTGCAGTTAAATAATAAATCTTGTCACAAAATATAACGCACTAATTAATTAATTAATGTATGATGAGTTAAATTTATGCAAATTAATATATATACATACACACACACACAAGCCACCCTAGCTCCATAACTTCAAGATGTGTAAACTCAACACAAACAAGAACATCCCAAGAACAAAAATAAAAATATTCCACTTATTTATATTTCTAATTACATTTAATCTCTTGATAAGTAAATCATTTTCATTATGTTTATCTAGTCAATATAAGATGACCATAGTGAATGATCTTCCTATGGATAGCAAATATGTGAAATTCCAGTGCTACGGTTCCGACGGTACGGATTTAGGGTTGCAAACGCTTCGCACGTTCAAGAGATTCGAGTGGACGATTTGCACCAGCCTTTTCACCGAGACGAGATACTATTGCACTTTCCACTGGCGCCAGCAGAAAGCTACGGCTCTCTTCGATGTTTTTAATGCCGATTTGTCGGCCCAATGCGTCGACTATGTTTTCGGTCCTTCTGCGTGCCAGTGGACTATTTCGCAATACGGGTTTTATTTCGGGGTCGAATGGCCCTACACTTTACGTGAAGACTGGAAGAGGCATCATTAATTAAAATATTCGACTTGTAAAATAATAATACATATAAATATAATAATTACACACATAATAGATGGTGTTGTTAATAATTCCATTTATTTCGATTATATACCACTAAGGAAGGTTCAAAGCGAAAGATATCTCGTCGGCTCGTCACATGCAAATATCTTTTTATTTGAACAGTCGATAGAATCCATTATACATTGTTATTTCATTAATTTCGATTCATGAGGAGGATTGTTGAAAATTTTGAGTTAAATATTGTAGGACCTCAGGCGCTACCAGTTGTCCTAAAACTAATTGGTGTTAGGAAAGACGTAGACCTTAGCCTTGTAGTGCATTCAACACACACAAACGCCCACGACATTCGATTGTGAGCCGCTCATACCCGGGCCTCCACCACGTGGACAATTGCTGCCAAACCCAGGCTAACTATTTCGCAATACGGGTTTTATTTCGGGGTCGAATGGCCCTACACTTTACGTGAAGACTGGAAGAGGCATCATTAATTAAATTATTCGACTTGTAAAATAATAATATATATAAATATAATAATTACACACATAATAGATGGTGTTGTTAATAATTCCATTTATTTCGATTATATACCACTAAGGAAGGTTCAAATTACAACGAAATAGTGCATTCACACACAAGCGCTCACGGCATTCGATTGTGGGCCGCCCATACCCGGGCCTCCACCACGTGGACAATTGCTACCAAACACAGGCTAACAATCTCCCCCTCAGCAATTGCTCCAGCTGGGAATCGAACCCGTGACCTTGGCTTTGATACCACTTGTAGGACCTCAGGCGTTACGAGTTATCCTAAAACTAATTGGTGTTAGGAAAGACGCAGACCCTAGCCTTATAGTGCATTCAACACACACAAACACCCACGTCATTTGATTGTGGGCCACCCATACACGGGCCTCCACCACGTGGACAATTGCTGCCAAACTCAGGCTAATAAATATTTAAGTGGATTTAATTTATTTCTCTAAATCATTTGTTGATGAATGAGGAATTGATAAGTTACTTAATTAACGTATTTAATTATGAAAAATAATAGGTGAAAAGTCGTCATTTTAATATGGAGGTGTTTGGTTTATATGAAATCAGAAAATTTATGGAACAAAGTTGTGATTATTGGCTACAATTATTGAGAATCTATAAATATATCCTACGATCGATCCACCATTTGAACAACTCAATTTTCACTCCATTCTACAATTGTTCGTTGGAGTTCTTCTTTCTTTAGTCCATAAGTATTCTTTGTGAATATTTTATTCCGTATTCTTCTTGAGAGAATTCAAAAACACATTTGAAGGTTCGTAGATTTCGAGATTTGAAGTGCAGCAATATTTAAATAAGGCCTTTGTATCTTGTGAGACAATTACTACAAAATCGCGCGTAAAGACCAGTGACTGGCAATAATATCTTAAGAACAAAGAACTGAGTTCTTACTTCTATCAATTTGTTAAAATCACCACCCATTGTTATGTACCGAAAATAATAAGACTTTTAACGTACGTACATTTAAATGTTGCATTAAAACCACACAAAATTGAAGTTAAGTAATAAATATTATCTCCTCTAAAAAAAAAAATTGTCACAAAATATAACGCACCAATTAATTAATTAATGTATGATGAGTTCAATTAATATGCCAATTAATTAATAGTAATCTTCCCTAACCTTTATATCTAGCTAGCTAGGTATCTCTCTCTCACACACACACCATAACCTAATTATCAAGATGTATAAACTCAATAAAAACAATAACAATAGCCAAACAATAATATTATTATCTGTCATTACAACATTTAATTTATTGATAATTAAATCCTCTTCATTCTGTTTCTTTAGCGAATACGAAATGCGCATCGTGAGTAATCTCTCGCCCGGTACGAGATCGCTGAAGCTCCACTGCTACAAAGGAGACGGCACCGATTTAGGGCAGCAGACGCTTCACCCGAACGAAGAGTACAAGTTCAAGATATGCACCAACTTTTTCACGGAGACGAGATACTATTGCGATTTCCACTGGCGCGAGTACAGACTCACGGCCGATTTCTACGTCTTCGATAGCTTTTTGTCGTCACTTTGCGAGGAC